ATGAATTATTTGAAGAGCATTTTAGAGCAAACCATCTCTTTATAATTATAATCTCATGTTCCTTTTCCTTTTCCTTCATCTTTCCCCTCGCTCTCACGTTCTTTCTCTCGATTTTATAGGATGGGGGAGGTGGGGGCACGTGCCCCCCGTCCTCCCCCTCGTAGCTACGCCACTGCCTCCCCATATCTTCCCCCTTTAAATGTTTTACATTAAATATTTATAAACATTTCTGACCCGAATCCAGCAATCTAGCTCTCCCTGAAGTCGGCCAAAATATAGAAAGGACGTAATAGGCATATAGACTAAGTTACAAAAATGCTATTGCGTATAGAAATAGATGCCCGCCTCGCTGTGTCCCAAACTAATTATCTTCAAATCTACCACCGCACTCTCATGACAAACAAGAACATCAACAGAAGTTAAATCAAACATTTTAAAAGGGCAAAGAAGTGCGAAAAATGTAAAAGGTTTATTTCTCTATAGATTATCACTTTTAACATGACGAATGCAACGTTAAATACTTTTGGATCCCGCTTTTAAAAAGTAGATTTTTTTTGTTGAAATTTTGTCCCTCCTCTGCCACAGTAGATGGTGATTTAGCACTTTAGTGTTTAGGGTGTGACATTATAGTACTTTTATGCCTATTTGATACTGAAATATAAGTTTGTTTTATTGTTATTCAGTTAAGCGAATATATAGACGGTAATATATAATGCGGTATTACATAATCCTAACAACCATCAATCAATGTTATTATTATTATTATTATTATTAATTTTATTATTATTATTATTATCATTAATATTAATATTATTATTATCATTAATATTAATATTATTATTATCATTAATATTAATATTATTATCATTAATATTATTGTAATCATCATTAATATTATTATTACTATTAGAATGAAACAAAATGCTTTAATCATCATCGAAGAAAAAACATGAGATGCAAAAATTCAGAAGCCTCCCGGATCCGATTCAACAAGATTGAAGTACATGTATAGCATTTAGAAGATTATCTCGACATCTGGTAATTCAATCATCATAGCCTATTATATCAGATTTTGTTTCATAACATCAATATTGAGAATTTTTGCCTTTTAGGGATGCATGAATATTTCCTCAGCGATATACTTGTATTACATAGCCGGGGTTGCATTACTTTGTCAAGATGAATTCCTCCTTTGCGATGCGGTCTAAGTAATTGGAGTTGATGAAATGAAACTTAATGACATGAATGAAAGTCCATAGACACTTGGGATAAGTGGGCTAATATATCAACAAATAATAACAGCACGTAAAAACGAGGAAGTATTAAACATGATAACGGTGAGAAAGGCGGGAAAACATAATGTTTACATATAATGAGTAGCCAAGTTGTGCATCGTGAAAGATTAAAAACACATGCAGCTATGATAAGTGATCGATTAGGAATCCGAAACGTGAATGGGAGGGGCTATGAAGAGGCGGTATGCCCCACCCCCTATATGATGTCATGAGATTTTTAATTAGTATCATAATAATGTGTGACCTAAATGGTAAGCCCCCCGAATGAACGGATAAATACTTTTTAGATTTGGCGGGAATTTTAGCCGCTGTCAAGCATCAAGACTTGTTCGTTCAGCTATGGCGCGGAAAACCACCGCAAATAAGCCGCTTTTTTGGGGGGGGGGGGGGGGGGGGGAGGGCGTGTAAATGAATGATAACAGCACTGCGCGTACTCACGGAGCTTCGTGTTATAAAGTTCGGAAATATGAAGGGTATTATATAACTCATAACAAATATAACAAAACGCCGTGGTTTTGCCCACTATCTGAACGAGCCTTCACAAACATTATCCTCCATTACGTTTGAACAGAATACCTGATGAAAAAGCAGATTATTTACCATGAAACATGATCATGCGGCAATTAACTGCTCCGCAATAATCTCTTACACCAACCGAATTCCTTATATCAGCTATGGACCAAACACTATACCCAACCCTAATCCTAACCCTAACCTAGAACCCGTTTGTAACCCTAACCCTAAAGCTTTGATAGCAATTGGCGCCGAAGCAAAATAATGTCAATTTAGAGAGTATGGCATTATACATGCAACATGCAAACCCCAATGCATTAATCCTGATTTTGATCTCCAGAGTTCAAATAAACGGCATGCATAGTATATACCTCTGATTCATATCTATTTATTTTCAATGGATATATCATGCAATAATATTGTTTGATTATTTTGATTAAGTTGATTACTATATACTAAATAAAGATGTTCTTAATCTCTCGCACTCACCTTTTTAACTCCACACTGTTTCATTTCAAAGTGCGATCGTATCAAATTACAACTCAGTTGCGCTATACAGCTACGTGATTCTTAATCAATCATAATTCCTTTTCAAAAGAACTACCTAATGTTTGTTTATGAATCTCCTAGGCTAATAGCCTATATTTTATCGCGCCAATAAATCACTTTCAAACGATTAACTGTTTGACGGATAATTGGGCGCGAAAAACAGATTGCGTGTTATAAAGGGTCCCTGGATGACTTATAATGGCTATCATGTTCTGTTCTATGATGCACATTTTTTTTTTAGATGACAGATAGTAATTAATAAGTAGTAAAGGTGGACAAGTGTTTTCCTGAGTGGTTTTGATTGCCAAGAGGCTGTTTACTTCTTTTCTCTTGTTTATTTGATTCGTTCAAACATTTTTATGGATGGTACACCGATTCCAAAAGTAAGCATCTTCAGCCAGTTAAGAACCTGGTATCCGCGCTTTCCAGTTCTGCTATGTCGGGGCTAGCTGACGTATGATGCCTCTGCCGCTTCGCCCCGGTGTTCCCTGTTGGTGGTTCGTTTATGTTACCTAATTGTCGAGTTCCAGAGCAGATTATCTAAAACACACACAATAACTGTAGGCAGAGGAGTAGCATTAGGTGCAGGCTTTAGTCCGTGAAAGTTATTGTCATCTGTATAGGAGATCGATCGATATTGTGCCTACAGATTTCAAGGAAGGAAACACTTCTTCGAACTTCATTATTATGTCTCATATACCCATTAAGGTTCCTAATGTCTTTACAGTCAATGAGATGCATCAATAAAAGTGTTCTTTCACTCCGTCCCTATCATCACTCTTTAAAATATGTTCATTACGAACTGTTAGCTATATCTTTAAGATAAAAAAAGTGTTTCTGCAGTTTTAGCTCTCATCGACGGTTCATAGCTTTATATAAAAAAGATGCATCATAATTATGTCTATCACTCCTTGAAATGGTTCTCATAACTTCAAAATAGATTTCATAACTTCAAAATAGATTTTATAACTTAAAAATAGATGTTATAATCTAAAAATAGATTTCATAACTTAAATTTTCACACTGAATAATTAGTCACGAGTTCCTTCACACCCTTCAATGATATTATGCATCTATATGAAGAGTAAAAATGGGAATGAAGATGTCTACTGTTGCAGCGGGTGCTGTTCATTGTCAAAGAACCAAAATAAGTGAGGGATTCTGTTTCTATGGAGCCGAGCCAAAGCATCTCTTGTGAGGCAACTATCCTATAATATAATATAATATATAATAATAATAATAATATTTTTGCGCGTGAAGTATTCTCAATTTTGATCTCATTTCCCTTTTCCAACCTTTTATACCCACGTCATATTATATTGCCAAAGCAGCTAAGGATAATTGACAAATGAGTATCGACCATATTCTGGGTAACAATATTTTTGGTCGGGCTATTGTGGATCTCGTCGGTGTGACAGGCTAGCTATCGTCATTGGGAGACAAGGCCCCACATCTTGGATCTTTGCCTTGGAAAGGGGGATTACCAACTACTATTTACTCAAATTCGGAACAACCAAAGAAAAATCCGTTTCATACCATTTCCTACATGTTCACCCAGCTGCAGACAAAGATCACTACACACCACAGAATCGTCTCAATCAAAACACATCTACCCTATCAAGACAGAAAAAAGATAGGTAGATAGATGTATAGAGTGGTGAAGTGTGACGTCATCAAAAATCTATTTTTAGATTTTCTCTTTTTTTTTTCTTCATTTTTCAGAAAGAGCATCAAAAACAATGTCCAAATGTCGAAAACCAATTTAATATGGTAAGTATTGGCTGAGATATAACCATCTGAATAAATATATGTCCTATGGGAACTCAGTGTTATATGCTCTGGCTCCTAATGGTTAGGAGCCAGAGCATATAACACTGAGTTCCTATGGGGAATATATTTATTCAGATGGTCATATCTCAGCCAATACTTAAGATATTAAATTGGTTTTCGACATTTGGACATTGTTTTTGATGCTCTTTCGGAAAATGAAGACAAAATTGAGAAATTCTAAAAAAAAAAATTTTTATGTCATAGCTTCAGTACTCTATAGATAGAGAGATTTTTTAAAAAGGAGGAAGAGGAGAGGGAAAGAACTAGAGGGAGAAAACATGAAGGTGATCAAAAGCGAGAGAGAGAGAGAGAGAGAGAGAGAGAGAGATTTCATTGAAGTACATTTAATCAAGAAGTGCTTGATGCTTACCATTATATCTTGCATACCATGTGACAATAGAGTTTATACTGAAACCCTGTCAAAACCACTTTCACAAACATCTTAAGTTAACCTTCAAACGTAAGTGGTAAAACAACTTGCTTCAACTTAAACATTCATTCATAAAAAATACAACAAAGTGTCATTCACAAACAGAATTCAAAGTGAAAGTGAAAATGAGTTCTTGTTACAATAATTTATTGTGCTACGTTCAAGTATTACCACTGCACAATACAAAAACCATACAATAAAATCTAATTATAAACATGACATTCATAGAGAAATATGAACAGAAATAGTACATACATAAATATACAATTATATAATATATATATATATATATATACATACAGAAATATACAAGTGTCTATACAGAAATATACAAGTAAAGGCATTTCAATCTAAGAGAGAGAGAGAGGGTGAACAAAGATTATATTTTTTATGGAAAGTGTTAAAGTTGATATCTGAAGTAAATATGAGATAACGACCTTCACACTTTAACCGGACGCTGTATTAGATGGTTTAAAGGCCCACTGCACTACTGGTAGCTACTTGCGCCCTCTGTATAACAAACAATGCCTAATCGGTGACCATTGGTCCCCCATGATCCTCTTTTTCTTATGTTAACTGAGAGCTGAGTTGATGAGATAACCACCTGTCCAGTGACCTTGCAGAGCGGTCTAATCCCTCCTGTAAACTACGGCAGATAAGCTTTAATATACCTAACTAAACATGCTTTTTCTAAAGTCCGACCAAGATATCCACTTTGAGACTTTTCAAGACATTGTAATAACAGATTAAGCAGCCTGATGCTCTAGAGGTGTGATATGATCTATAATGTCTGGTATTAATCTTTCTGAACTGTCTCCATGTGGTTGACAATAAGTGTACATAAAATTCTTTGAGTAAACAAGAAATTTGTAGTTCTAAGATCTAAGGTGCTAATAATAAATATACACCTGTGACAGAAACAGAGAGCTGATTTCATCTGAATATTTCTTTTTCAAAAACAACTAAATAATTTTTGTTTTCATATACATTCCTTACATGTAAATTTATTAATAACTATACTATTTACATCAGCCCCCCCCCCCCAATGAAAAAATCGCAGTAAACAATGTAGGAAAAAAAGGATTTTACCTCTGTAAATATCAAATTACTGAATTTCTTATATGTTTCAATTATGAAAAACAGCTCAACCAATCACAATTAATTTCTGCCAGTAGAGGGAATTCACAACAGAATCTGAAACCTATCTTAGCTTACCCATTATGCTCTTTCTTGACTTTGATCCATTTTTAGCAACATTATTTGGCAAATATCATCCTATTTGTATTCTTGAATCGGCAGTTAAGTTTCATTTAGTTATATGAGAATTTATTTTCCATCATTACTACAACTCAGATTACGGTAAAAGCTATTACTTATGCGAGAGTCTCATTTCACAAACTTTGTGCACTGTTGTAGGATCCAAAACCCAGCAACATGAAAATTAGCTGGCAATGCACATATGAAGATGACAATGGGTAGCCTAGCTGGGTTAATAGTCACAAACAACAACAACTTGGGAATTCTGCTTCTTTGTCATACAGCTGAATTTCCACATGCAAAAATAGTGGCCCTTTAAAGCCTTGTATGAATGCCACAACCATGTTTAAAGATCAAGAGCAGAGTCAGCAATGTCAGCCAAGGACTCCATCTCCCGATTGGCTTGAAGGGAAAGCTCATCACTAAGCTGCCATATCATGAGCGTTCCCAAAGCATCTCCGGTCGCTAGAAGGCGACGACTGAAAGGAATGAATGAAACAAAAAGAGAGGGCAGAACAGAGAATTATTATTATTCAGAGATGTGACATTTCCTCTTGTGGTATTGCTCTAGGCTATATTTAAGGTTTGGGTTGCGATTTGGTTTTAAGCTGAACTTATAGTTTAGGCTAGGAGTTGGGTTGCGAATGAGTTTTAGGCTGATTGAAGGTGAGAGTTTGGATTTGGATTGAAATTGGGTTTAGGGTTAGTGTTAGGTGTAGCGTTGGGTTCAGAGTTAGTGTTAAGTGTATGTTGGGTCCAGAGTTAGTGTTAGGTGTTGTCACGTGAGAGACTTTTTTAAATTTTTTATTATTGCTACGGACACACAAAATAAAGGGAAATAGAGCTCATGTTCACGCTCTCTTTCCCGGTCTTCTTCTCTTTCTACCGCCTGACAGCGTTCAGAAACGAAACTACTCAACTCGCCTCCACTAAGACCCATTTCCCTACCTAAAGTAGAAAACTCTTTAATTTGCTCGACACTAGCCATAGCGACTAAACATCGATTCCAAAACTACAAAAACCTAGGCTTTAACACCGGCAACAAATGCCAACCCCTAGTGCCTTCTAACAAGCACACTAGAATGTATCTCCCAATGAGCATACAATTAATTCAACCATGCGAAACACCGGTCCGCTTCACACCAGACAATTAACCCCTAGTGCCTTCTAACAAGCACACTAGAATTTCTCCTAACGAGAACCCAAAATTCAACCATGCGAAACACCGGTCAACTTCACAACATGAACATTCAAAGCCTATAGTAGTTCAAACCTGGAATCTCTAATCGAGCAAAAATACCATGCATAATGCACAACTCGCCTAAGCACTACCCTAGTCTATAGGCGTTACCAAGGGCTTAACCTTGGGGAGAATCCACTAAACTCTTGACATTATTGCTTTTATCAACCTAAACCGAATTTCTTTTAACCTATATTTCAACCCCAAACATCAATTAAACATCAAATTCGTATGCGGGGAAAAGAGGGGGAGAAATATCCAATTCCCTTCTTGAAATTATTTATAAGTAGCAATGTCTCGGTGGGACCTCCAAATTGTCACGTGAGAGACTTTTTTTAATTTTTTATTATTGCTACGGACACACAAAATAAAGGGAAATAGAGCTTGTTAATTAAAGTTAAATTGTAACGTTTAATTTCCAATCATTTCTCCTGTTTCACACACTTTGTTTTGGTTTCAGTAATAATACAGTATGTAATTAAACTTATCTTTAACAAAATAATTCTGGATGGGTAGTTTCCCGTCTGACATCGACGCCGGTCACAGCTCGTGTCGTCCACTTGGCCCTGGCCTCCGCAGACAGCGTCTTTGCTCCACTTGGCCCCGGTAGTCGCCCCGGATTCTTGACCTCCGCAGACTGAGATATGATGGTGTGCGTCCCGATCCCAGACAAGAGCTAGCCCCCGACGAAAGCTATGGAGAACCACCTAAGCTATAATAGACTTAACGTCATGTTAGAAGTCGGCAATTAAAGTCAATATCTGAGGGTAATTCCACGTCGGGACGAGAGGCTAGCTCAACTGCCACCCGGTTCTCCATAGCTTTCGTCGGGGGCTAGCTCTTGTCTGGGATCGGGACGCACACCATCGTATCTCAGTCTGCGGAGGTCAAGAATCCGGGGCGACTACCGGGGCCAAGTGGAGCAAAGACGCTGTCTGCGGAGGCCAGGGCCAAGTGGACGACACGAGCTGTGACCGGCGTCGATGTCAGATGGGAAACTACCCATCCAGAATTATTTTGTTAAAGATAAGTTTAATTACATACTGTATTATTACTGAAACCAAAACAAAGTGTGTGAAACAGGAGAAATGATTGGAAATTAAACGTTACAATTTAACTTTAATTAACAAGCTCTATTTCCCTTTATTTTGTGTGTCCGTAGCAATAATAAAAAATTTAAAAAAGTCTCTCACGTGACAGGTGTAGTGTTGGGTTCAGGGTTAGTGTTAAGTGTATGTTGGGTCCAGAGTTAGTGTTAGGTGTAGTGTTGGGTTCAGGGTTAGTGTTAGATGTAGCGTTGGATTCAGAGTTAGTGTTAAGTGTATGTTGGGTCCAGAGTTAGTGTTAAGTGTAATGTTGGGTCCAGAGTTAGTGTTAGGTGTAGTGTTGGGTCCAGGGCTAGTGTTAGGTGTAGTGTTGGGTTTAGGGTAGCAGTTTGGAACTCGGTTAGTGTAAGAGATTCACTGCGGAGCAATCGTTGCTGGTATGATCATTATTTCTACCTGATACACAACACTGATTCAGGGAATCGGCACGTTCCTATCTTTTGCTTGTCGACCTGGGTGACGTCCAGCACTCGGATGCCAAGCGTAACAATTTTGGCGGTAAAGTAAGCTTAAGTTTCTTTTACTTGATTCAGGCTTGGCAGCTGGTGGCTGGAGAGAGAGAGCTCAGGATATCCTGCCATTCATTTGATGACGCACTTAAATTGAGATTATAGACTTATAATAATCAGGCTTGTGCTATCTAAGAAAACACTTCATTGTGTGCCAAAGACAGTTCAAGCTATGAATAGAAAAGATGCATTGACAAGCTCAGGTGTCAAAGATAAGATGAAGTGTCACTTACAGTATGTCATAATGATATTATTCAGCTTTTACATCAACAATGTCTCCAAGCGTTTTTTTTTTTTTTTTTTTTTTTGTTCTGTTTTTTTAAATCTTGTCTCTTTTTTCCCTGTATGTGTGTGTTTTGGGGGTAGGCTTTCATATAAAGGAATCCCTCTTTTCTGCCTACCAGTATCCCAAATGCTCTCATAAATTGCCATTGTTGTTTGTTATCACTATCTTGTTTTTTTATCATTCCATTCTGTATGTGTATGTTTTAAATGTTTTTATGAAGAGTGTTGAATAAACTTTGAATTGAATTGAATTGAACTGAACTGAACTGAATTGAATTGAATTGAATTGAATTGAATTGAATTGAATTGAATTGAATTTACAGATATATTATTACCCCGGTCATTGGATTCAGGCTTGCCTACACACAATGTATGCACATTCTCAACTCCCTGGGGAGCATTCCACCCGAGGCGTTATTTTACAGACGCTCACAATGCTGAGAAAACTACATTAAATTTCTCATCCTACCGGGTACGTACCTGGGTGGAGATTGGCAAATGTAGACTAACGTCTTAGTATCGGGCTGGGATTTGAACCCCGTACCTTGTGATCTGCAGTCAAGTGACTTATCCACTAGACCACAACACCTCTACAATATAAATGAATATTTCATCTTTTGGCAGTACATAACACAAGAAGCCAACTTTGGCTTTCAAAATAAAAAAATGGACAAGAAATTCTTTTATTTCTATCCATATAGAAATGATTGCCATGCTGAGTAAAATTTGATTCTTAGCACAGTAATAATGATACTTTTTCATTATAGAACACACAAGAGAGATGCCACTAAGTGGTTCATCGATCATAACATAAAAAACTTCATATGTTTCTTACACTTTGAATGATTTTCTTAAACTGATCTGCGCCTCAAATTTGAATGCTTCAAATCAAGCCAGAGGGGAGTCAGGGGACTTCCCCCTTGCCACCAAGCATCTTGCTAGAATACGTGCACTGTCGCACTTAACAACTGCAGGCTAATTTACTTGGTTTCAGATGGATTGAATGGTTCAGCATTGAAACAAACCCTTTCAAAGAATGCAATGAAAACCTGGGAATTCCCAAAGACAATTGAATAGATTCAGTACAAGTACATCATTTTAAAATGGGAACCCCTGGAATCTCTGAACATGATCTCATATATTTTCAAGAAATCAGTTCCTAGGTAATTTCAAAACTGTATTGTAAAGCCTATAGAAACATATTCTGGATCATACATTTTATTATGTTGCACAGAGCTTCAATTTTATTTACTTCCACTTGCCATTCGTGTCTGTATTTAGCCATGGATAGTGAAATGAAAATCCTATTTTTCAATTATTAGTCGATATGGTTAACCCTATGTTAACTGGGGGGGGGGGGGTCAATTTGACCTGTAGAAATTTCGCAACTTCTCCGAAACCGTGGCAGATATAAAATTTTCCTTTCATGACTTTTTTCTTTCAAGTCTTACGCATCTTTTGAAACAATTTTTTTGAAAATCGGACGAACAGTTACAAAGTCACGTGACCCTTTGTCTTTGCATGTCAGCCCGAAAATCGCTCATTTTTGTGATTTGTGTACAAAACATAAGGAAATGTAATTTTTCCTAAAAAGAGATAAAACATTGGTTATTTTGTCTTTGTCTTAAAGTTAACGTGTTTGTCTTGGGGTCAAAATAGTTGAATTGTAGTTATAAATAAAATAAAATAAAAAAAACAATGAAATACATAATTTAAAAAAACAAAGAAATACATAAGAAATTATCAAATCAAAAAATAACATAAGGAATAACCTGGCTCTTTCAATTTTTTTTGTGCTGTAGTATTATTCCAAATGGTCTAACAAATATATGTAGTGAAAAAGAATGCTTAAATATGAATAATGTATGATTTATGAGCAAAAATGTGAATTGTATGACCTTATTTGCATAAATTACCATAAATATGCAAATTAGTGAATTTTTCAAAAAAATTGAAATTACCATAGTATTCAATACACTTCACTCGACATGTATGCAAATTTTTTTGGCGATCGGTCATTCCGCGGCCGAGATCTTAGGGGGGAGGGGGGGGGGGGGGGGGGGGGGGGGGGGGGGGGGGGGGGGGGAGGGGGGGGGGGGGTCAAATTGACCCCCCCCCCCCCAAGTAAAAACCTGGTCTGAAATAGCCCAGTTAAAATAGGGTTAAAAGTGCTTATAAGTAAAACTTGGATTTTAGAATTGGTACTTTTTTAAAGAAGTATTCCAGAAAGGAAAGATGAAACAATGTCCTTCTCAAAAGAGGACAAAGAAAATTGTATGATAAACATGAAATGATTTAAAAAACAAAAATATGCACATTGACATTTGATTTGTATTTTTTCTTGATTCATGAAAAAAGGAATGTGAGATATTTTGTTGCAATAAAATACACCTGTACGGGTGAAAGAAATGGTTATATTGCCATGGCAGTATCTGGAGGGTGTTTATCACATAATATTGAAATGAGCCGTTGATTGACACAGCTTCTCTCTTTGTACCTCCAGTGGCCCTTAATCTAGGTGAGAAATGATTCTTATTTTACCCAGCTTTTTGTTTAAAGGCAGTTCATCAAGCGGGTACCTGGCAATGCTGAGGTAATAAGAATTGCATGGCCCAAAGGAAGAGCAATATCAATACTGATGTGCCTCCCCTGGCTAAATACGAGCAACTTATTATAACTTGCGTGAACAGAGCTTTTGTGGTCATTCTTGTGATACATACCCAGGGAGCGGAGCGTGTGCACTATCATGTGCGGATTAGCAATTGAATCCTATGACCAGAGTAATAATGACCAATTCAAAACTTATCTTAAGACACATTTATTCAAAATTGCTTTTGATGATTAACTTACTCTGTTCACATTGATGTATATTTCATATGTATTTGTAGGTTCATTTGCATTTTTTGTTTGTTTTGTTTAATATGTAATTGTTTATCATTGTATTTTGTTTGTCCGATAGAGCTTAGAGACTTCGGTGGTAAGCGCTTCATAAGCACCGTTTTTATCATTTATTATTATTATTATTATTATTATTACAATGTAAGGCACTTAGAAATGTGGTATTAAGCGCTATACAAATATGACTATTATCCTCATCATCATCATACTTACTGTCTCTGGTTGAACTGTACAACGTGAACTGGTTTCTTCTCAAGGCTGGCATCCAGGATACATACAGGCTTCACTTTACTCTTCTTGAGATCGTACAGTAGAAGCTGGCCTTGACCTGTAGCTGCACCAAACACTAGAGGGCGCACCGGCGACCACTGAGCGGAGAAGAGGTATCCTGACGCAGGCTCGATTGAGAAGATTGGTCTCGACTATGAATGGGAGGGTAGTTCAAGATGAATACAAATCATATAGACAATCAGAAATAAGGACAAGATTTAACCGCTATAATTTATTCATTTGTACGCCTGATTCTTCTGTCAAAATACTCTATACGTATCTGTATATACTTTCTTGTTGCTACAGATTACCAATCCGCTAATATTATGACAGCATATGTTAACATTTCAATCTTGTTTTACCCATCATGCCATTGCCTAGGGAGCGAAGTGGTGCCTTAATTTAGCCTATGGGAGCGAGAGATTTCAGTTATAATTAAAGATTTGAATGACTATTTCATGTACTTTCTAGAGATAATTCATCACCTTTCATTTATTTTATTTATTTATTTATTTTGTTTTATTTCAACAGGGTAGCCCCATCAGTAGTTAAAATACTGATATTCTTGGGGGCCCTGCATAACATAAAATACATATATAGACATACATATACATGAAAACATCATCACATGGTGAGTATAGTAAACATACCAGAAAGAATTACAGATTAAATCTCAAATGTAAATTTAAACTCAGCAAGTAAACAAAAATCCACAAACAAAAAAATCAAGTCAAAAAAAAAAAATCAAGTCAAAAAAAAAAATCAAGTCAAATAAAATCAAGTCATCAAGTAAATCATACATAAACAAATTTTGAGGAAGAAAAAATATTATATTGAGGGGACAGTGTGTCTAAACATAATTATTTGTAATTTATAGGATATTTATGAGAAATACAATGATCTGCAATTGGTAATTAACTAAATATTGAAGTTTGTGATAGTGGCTACTTATTTGCGAGTACTTGGGTTATATTTACATGTTTCTAAAATAACTGGTGCAAAATGACTGCTTAGTTTGTGCATTTCGTAACTCACTAGGGAGGTTGTTCCATGTCATTGCACCCTCAAAGGAAAAGGCCCTTTTACCATTTTCAGTTTTAACTTTGGGGATGACTAATCCACGAGTATCAGCGATTCTAGTGCTATAACGATGTGTTGCTGCAGACTGAGTAACATATCTTGAAGATATGAGGGGGAAATACCGTTTACAATATCGAACATAAGTTTACATTTCTGGAATTGCCAACGTTTTTCCATGTTCATCCACTTGAGTTTTGAGAACATTTCTGAACTTGGTGTAAGTACATTCATTTAGAGAACAATCCTAGCCATCTGTTTATACAACTTAATCAGTGTATCCCGAAGACCTTGATTACAATTTGACCATGAGGTTCAGCAATAATCAAAATATGGTAATACCAGTGCATTTGCTAATAACTTGGCACTGTCTATCGTTAGATATTTTCTGACACGTCTCAACAGTGCCAACCTTGAAGCAATTTTGCTGGAAGTATGACTCTCACCTGAAGCACACTGCAGTCCGACATGAGAGGAAATATATTCCTATGATAAAGCCAGTATTGTACAACACGTACTGGTGCTCTCATGAATAGCAGAACCATATCTCCTCTTATATTACCCCTTCTCCTTGATACCGCTTCTTCCTACACCCTCCCCCTTCCCCCCAATTTAAGGAGGCGCGATAGCTCAGTTGGTAGAGTATTGGTAATGTAATCCAGCGACCCGGATTCGGAACCACGACGATGCGCTTGTGCCCTTTGGTAAGGCATTAATCCTCATTACCAGGTCTCTCGGAGAGGACTTAGAGCTGTCGGTCCTCTGGTTGCTTACTAACAAGCATTTATGCTTTCTTAGCAGTCAGGTAAAATAATCACCACTACACTCTCGATAACCCCAACCCCAATATACTATAGACCTTAAATGCCCATATTGGTCTCACATGACATGAATAGATTAATGTGAAACAGTGAGCATTGTACAGCATGAACAATGCACTTATCAAAGGAGGACCCCTACCCCCTCCAACAGCCCCCCTCCCTTCAAATTAAAATTGACTCTTACCTCCAGCATACTATAGACCCTAATACTCATATCGGTCCCACATGACATGAATAGATTCCTATGAAATGGTGAGCACTGTACAGCATGGAACTGTGCTCTCATCAAAGCAGGGCCCCTACACCCTCCAACAGCCCCCCTCCCCCAAATTAAAATTGATTCTTACCTCCAGCATACTATAGACCCTAATACTCATATCGGTCCCACATGACATGAATAGATTCCTATGAAACGGTGAGCACTGCACAGCATGGACCGGTCCATTGTGAGGTTGAAAGGCAAAGGTAACGGGAGAGTAGAGGGGTACTGACAGCAGGATCTCACCTGTATCAAGCAACAAAATAGAAATCAATGGTTCATCCATGGTGTAATATATGTCAAAGGTCATTGTCAAGTAAGACGATGCCATTTCAGTCCGTCTAGTGTGTGTAACAGGGTTCTTACAGACATGAATGTATCAATCAGATTTCACTAATAATAATAATAACAATAATTATTGGATTTATATAGCGCCTTTTTCAAAGGATGCAAGGCGCTGTCTCTTAGACTATCAACAATTCAAGAGGAGTCGTACAGGTCTGGAGACTGAACTGTAACATCCCTATCCAAACGATATGACCCAGTCTTGAACCAGGCTCCGTACAAATCAGTTTGTAGGTAAAGACCACATGGCAAAGACAGACAGCTCACCAAGTGTTTTGGGGGCTGCAAGGTAACTTTTGACTAACAAATATAAAATCTTGGAAGAAATTTTCTTCCAAAGCAAAGAGATTTGCAGTAAAACACAGCAGATTTCTTGCATTTCATTCTGTTTACATTACAAATACGAATAAAAGTTCTTATTAAAGTACAAAATGTTGGCATCTTCTTCTTTTTTCTTCTTTTACACTATGAAATAAACATTAAGCTTTCAAAAAAATAATTCATTGATTCCTAACCAGTTCGGATTCAGAATTGGTCATTCTACCGATTACGCAATTCTGCATATGTATGATAAAATAATTGAGGCTTTTGCGAACAGTGAACATATTGTTGGAGTATTTATGGACTTGTCAAAAGCTTTCGATACGATTGATCATAAAATATTAATACATAAATTACAATACTATGGCGTAAGAGGTCAAGCTCTTTCATGGTTCACTAATTATTTACAAGACAGACAACAATACGTATCTTTCCAAAATCATGAATCAACAAAATTAACAATTAAATGTGGAGTACCGCAAGGATCTATATTGGGTCCATTGCTATTTATTATTTATATAAATGATATTATTGAAACCTCTTCACTTTTAAATTTTATCATCTTTGCTGATGATACGAGTATTTCTTATTCCCATAAAAACTTTGATACGCTCATAACGCGGTTAAACTGTGAATTAATGAAAATTTCTAGGTGGTTTAAATCTAATAAATTGTCATTAAACCTTAGTAAAACAAATTTCATTCATTTTAAACAGACCAACGTACATGATATGAGAAATTGTAATATTGAGATTGATGGCTTGCCTCTCATTGAAAAACAATCTGTTAAATTTTTAGGAGTCTCTATTGACTCTCATCTAAATTTTAATGAGCATATACGTAATATACATACATCAATATCAAGGAATATTGGAATACTGTATAAGTTAAAACAAATTCTTTCTGAAAGATCTATGATTATATTATACAATTCTCTAATTTTATCACATGTGATTTATTGTAATATTGTATGGGGTAATTGTAGCTTAACAAGAATTAATTCCTTATTTTTGCTTCAAAAGAGAGCGATTCGCATGATCACTAACTCACATTATATATCACACACGGAACCTTTATTTCAGCGTTTAAAAACATTAAAAATACAAGATATCCACATTTTTCAGACATGCATTTTTATGTATAAATATTCTCATAATCAATTACCATCCCTATTTCACAATATTTACAGTTTAAACTCAAACATTCACACATACCCCACACGTTGTTCAACAAATTATCACTTAGAAAATCCTAAAATACTTTTAGCACAAAAATCAGTAAGACATCATGGACCAGATGTTTGGAACTCCTTACCAAATTCAATAAGGCATTGTTCATCTCTCTATTCTTTTAAAGCATCTCTCAAAAAAACTCTTATCTCGAAGTATCTACATAACTGATTTCAACATGCAGTAGGCAATTGTCAAATTTCGGTCACATTGCAACTCAGTTTTGCAAATTTTGTTTTCTATTTCGTATTTCTTAATTTCCTTTATTGTAAAGGCTGTATTTGTTTCTACTCGACTATACCACACAGAGCTACGTACACTTCCACTATTTGTTACAAACACATACAAACACGCACGCTCGCGTGCACGTGCACACACACACACACACACACACCCACACATGCACACACGCACACACACAATATATATATATATATACACTTGCACAACACACTCACCAACTCATACACAAAGATCGCTTGAACACTTTTTCATTTTAAGTTTTACCTTAAGATTTTTTTTTGTTTTGTTCTTGTTTTTTTTTTTTTTTTTTTTTGAGGCCGCCATCCTTGTCAAGCTTTGCTTATGATTGCGGTCTCCTGCACTTTTCCACCAGAATAGTTAGGATAATACTTTAAATTTATGATAATATGTTATGGAAATAATAAGTTTCATTATTATAATTATGTACATATATTATGTAAAAAAACATTTTGACATGAAGAAATTATTGTTTGTTTATGTTGTATTATACCTTACATGTATATTATGTTATTTGTTATTCAGTTATATTTTATTTGGAAAAAATGCAGAAATAAAATCAAATCAAAAAAAAAAAAAAAGCTCTTACTCTAAATATCTCATCACAAGAAATGATAATAGACCAATAAACTCATACAGAGATATAAAAAGAAATCTTACCAGTAGGGGCAGAAGCCTTTGAGTTCATGGAGCATTTGAAGACTCCTCCCGACTCTGAACCTAAGACAAACTGACTCTTGTCCTCTTCAACAAACGATATTCCATTCACTATAATAATTCAAAGATAAAACAACAGAGAAAAGTTTTGAAACACATGCTTCTTGTAATTGTATTACTCATCTCCCACCTCTCCCTCTCTCTTTGAATACATGTATAACAGGATGTGATATTGTTTTTCAATACATTTAGCTCAACAAATGAGAATTCATGATTGAAATTTTGTGACATATGTTTCATCATTATCTTAGTATCAAACACACCTCACTTTTCCATTTAATAATAATGTCAAAACGACAGGCATACCCATTGCTTCTATCCATTTAGCTTGAAAAAAAGACACTGATATAGTGGAGCCCCATATGTTTGGTAGAATATGAATAATTACAAAAATAAAATAATTTGTAGTATCTAGTAAAAATGCTTTTTACAAGGGTTTAAAAGAGCAGTGCCATAAAGCTTGAACAAGCTTGAAACAGAGAGATGATAGGACTTTAAATCAGGTAAAAACATGATAAAACTGACTATACTGCAAAGTCTGTATAAATACTGATCCGTTCAAAGGATATGACGAGTTAAACTGACCTCCCATCTCTCCGTCACCCCTTGACCTTGACCCTTGGTTGACCATGGCAGGTAGAGAGCTGGCCAGCAGGACGAAGCCTTCTTCTAGTTTGAGGACGCCCTTCTCGTTGAACAGCCAGTGTAGAATCTTCCCATCGGCACTGGTACTGATGATCTAGCCAAAGGAAAATGGTTACAACAACATAATGATTACCAGTGAATCTGAATTAGGCCTAAAATAAAAACTTGTTGTATTGCCCTTTGCGACCGACCCAAATATCTGAAAATCTTTGGTCGGCATTTTAAAAAAGTTTTTTTAAAAAAAACGTTTTTAGGATTTTTCTTAATTAATGAATAAAAGTATACGGTATGTATTTTGTTTGTTTAAATGGGATATAAATGCATAAAATCAAATTATTCAAAAATTCTCACTCGTGCAAACCATGGATAATTATGAGGTGAAAAAGATATCAATAGAATGATGACGCTGAAGCACATGTATTAAAGCATTAAAAACTGAGAAATATCAGCTAAAAGACATTTTAGAAAAATCTGAAAATATCGGCCCAAAGAGGGCGACACAAAAAAAAACTTTTCTGACCGACCGACCCATGTTTTGGCACACAAAGGGCAGTACAACAAGTTTTTATATTAGGCCTTATTCCCCTTCCTTTGATGGTTATCATTGTAGAGGCATTGTGGTCTAGTGGATAAGTGTCCGGACTGTGAACCACAAGGTACTGGGTTGGAATCCCGCCAAAGCAGTAATGTCCTTTGGCAAGAAATTAATCTGTATTTGCAACACTCGAGCCAGGTGTAGTAAGTAGATATCTGGTAGGATTCATTCCTTGAATGCACTGAGCGCTTTGGTTGCAGGAGCTTCAGCCAGGTTACTAGTAATAATATCCAAAGTCATTTTGGAAGCGCATAGAGACGTTATATTATAATGTGAAATGAGCTCTACATTATTATTATCATTGTCACTCTTACATCTTGTCTCATATTTGTATTCATGCTACACCCAGGCTTTGGTTATAAATCTATCAGAAAACTGTAAATAACTTATAAAACTCAATGCATAATGGTAGGATATACTAGGAGGCCAAGTATGGCCAAGTAAAGGCGGAGTAAACCCATCCTCAGGGTGGACTCTCCCTTCAAATGTCTGGTTTTATAATTAGATAAAATTGACCCGATGAAACCATAATTGCGATTTGAAACATAATAATTATTATTTTTGATATATCATAACTTACATCATATTTCTTGAGTTTGTTTGGATCTTGTAGCCATGTAATCTGAGTGACTGGTTCTCTGTGTGTATCATCACTGATTCCTGATGCAGCGATTAGATTGTCATCATCCTTACTCAGATCCCAAATCATCACTTCACCTGTAAACAGAGAAACCAACATTTATCATTATTATTATTATCATTATTATTATTTATTTGGCAAGAACAAAGAAAATCATTGAATACAAAACAAGAGTACATTTGGAAAAGAGTCAGACTGGTGGTTCTATAATAAGTATCATCACTGAAATTTAACAATTAGATTCTCATCATCCTTACTCAGATCCTAAATCATCACTTCACCTGTACACAAAGAAACCAACATTTATTATTATTATTATTATTATTATTATTATTATTATTATTATTATTATTATTATTATTAACCAACATTTCTATTACACTGGTGGTTCTAGAATAAGTATCATCACTGATTCCTGATCTAGCGATTAGATTTTCATCATCCTTTAATACTCAGATCCCAAATCATCACTTCACCTGTACACAAAGAAACCAACATTTCTATTAGACTGGTGGTTCTAGAATAGGCCTGTAACCGATCATCTGTAGCCGATCTTGAGCCGATCAGGTGTGATTGGATAATAATTTCTGATCGCCGATCAATAAAAATCAGAAAAAATCGGCAGAATTATTATTATTATTTTTTTTTTTTAATGTCGAAAATTTATGCCAATTTTTTTTTTGCCGATTATTTTTGCCGATCACAGGTGCGAGGGTGTCACTCTGATCTTCCGATCCGATCAAAGCCCCAACTTAAGCATCATCACTGAAACTCAATGTAGCAATGAGATTCTCATCATCCTTACTCATGCAGATCCCAAATCATCACTTCACCTGTACACAAATAGCAGTCAACCAATTCATAGGAAGCTAATCAATGAAAGTGTCCTGATTGATAATCATTTTTTCTCCTGCAATAAATGTTTATGAACAACGATGAATCTCAATTTGAGGGGAAGCTAATTCATCTGATTTGAAACATCAATCGTGCATTTTGGATGATTTTTACAACTGGTCCAAAGTTAACAGAATTTGTGATTCCCTAAAATCCACTGCCAGCATGTTATCCATTGCTAACTTTTAGAAGGCTCACTACATTTGAAATGAAGAACATTGTACATTGCACATCCACTGGAATATGTACAGTAACTTGCTATATCATCATTATTCTTACTGTCAACTTGAGGAAAATGAAAAGGAACAGTTCTTACCATTGAATGTTCCTCCAGCTATTAACGCAGGGATTGTGGGATGGAATGTGACACACATTAGGCAGCTCTGTGAAATGAGAAAAATTGAAAAAATAAAAATATATTGATTAATTAGAAATACAAGATTATATTTTGACACTTGTTGATCTTCAACCTCCCATGGATCGATCCATATATATAATAATAATAATAATAATTATAATAATCTTTTAAAGTCCACTCCAAATTTTATTAAGTTAAACCAAAAATGGAAATTCTTTTTGCCCAATTGATCGTGAGCCCGGCAGCCACTGAGCAGCGCCAGATCGACGTTGCTCTATCCCTTATTGTTGAACGCCAAACAAGGTAGCAGCAACTCCTGTCTTTTAACATCTTTTAGTATGACGCGGCCGGGGTTCGAACCCACGACCTCCCGGTTGTGAGGCGGACGCTCCACTGACTGAGCCAACACATCGGTCTAATGGATTAATCGCTACAATTAATGCACATGACATTTTTCTTGGACAAGACTACTTACCGATGTATCAATTGCTGAGTCTGCTTTTGTCGGAGATACTTTACCGCGATCCACATTCCATGTACAGAGAGAACCCTGAAAGATAAATAACAATGATTCATACATAAATCAGTCATGTCTAATCCACTCAGTGACTGTGCATTTGATCTTTAAAAATGACAAGCCCCATGCAGACAAAATTATTGAATTAGGGATAAAATAGAATGGAGGCTACAACCTGTTACAAGTGTCAATGATCCCTAACTAGACGTTCAACTGTACAATGTGGAACTCTTTATATTCATCATTATCCTCATTGTCAATTTAGGAGGCATTTACTGGTATGTTGCACAAAACTGTAATGTTCTAAGTATTACAAAGAATATACAGTGAACCATTTGTACAAGGGAGACAAGAAAAGTGGTCTCTGAAAGTGATCTCTCAGGAAAGGTTCCTTTCATCCATGTTTCGATAGCAAACATTTTTCAAGGGAAATACCAAATAAACATGTAGAATTCTTAAACAGGCAGACACTACAGCAGGTTTGAATATAATTCAATGGTAAAACAATATTTTCCTTTAGCAAAACAAACTATAGTATAACTACAGAACTAAAATATGAAAGCGAAGACTGAAGACTCGTTTAGATTTGATGTGGTAAACTGCCAATAAAAAAACAGCACATTTCAAACCAAAACGTGTAAATTAATGTCAACTGCGCAGCACAAAGGTCCTGTATATTCCTTGAGCTCTGTGTGATAAGATAAAGAAATGTGAAGAGTGTTACACTTTAGGTCATCCTAAACGATGCTGTTGTTTTTCTGCGTCATATCAGAACAATGCCTGGGACCTGTTTCACAAAGCCTTTTTTCAATGACAAATGACAAAAATCAGTGACAAATCTACTGAAAACCAATCAGAAGCAAGGATTTTAGTAGCTTATAACAACAACTGCTATTTGTCACCAATGACAAGTTTGGTGAAACACCCCCCCCCCCCTGATCCATACTTTATGAGTACACCAATCCTGATGATCCATCCTCCCGTAAGCCGCTGCGAGCGTGGATCCGTTAGAGTTCCAGGAGAGATTGGTACACTGGAGTTCTCTGTTCAGAGCGGCATGTTCCAGGACATGGAGGCATGTGACTGCTTCGTTCTCATCCTCCCAATCAACCTCATAGCCTGAGTGAGAAGAAAACATGGAGAATGATTTATGAAGCATTCAGAGGATGGAGAAGAGAGGGAGGAAGGGAGGAAGAGAGGAAGAGAGGAAGAGAGAGAGAGAGAGGAACTAACACTTCAACAAGCTCTGCTTCAAGTTATAGTTCCTCTTTTCTCGTGCTATTTCCATTATATTTATTGTTTCATTGCATATTTGTTGTGATGTAATTATTTTTGTATTATGTTTTGCATGAGAAATAAAATCATTTGAATCTTTAGAGAGAGAGAGAGAGACAGAGAGAGACAGATTAAAAAGATAAAATGGACTAAGAGAGTAATAGAGGGAGAAAGAGATTCAAAGAGCAGATCAATAGAATATCAGAGAGAAAGAGAGAGAGAAAGAAAAAGATATAAAGAGAGAAAAGAGAGGAACAGAGAAAGAGAGAGAGAGGGAGAGAAAGAAAGAGAACAAGAGTAAGAGAAAGAGAGAGAGGGAGAGAGAAAAAGAGGGATTTTTTGCAAATCATCTTTGGTATTAAATTGGACAATAAAGTGGCATCTAATAGCGATAAATGACACCTAAACAGGTTTACGTAAGAGAATAGATGAAAAGCTTTACAAATACACTGCATTAACTGCATTGAAGGAAATATGGCAATGTTGAAAGAAGGCAGTAGATTTCTCAAAAAGGGTCACTGTGTCTGAATAAGAGCAAAAATCTGGTGCTGTCACATTTATTTGTTTCTCCTTTATTTCATGTATATAAAATTAAAAAAATAAGAAGCTTCATTGCATTTTAGCTGAAAAATGAGGAGTGAACCATCAGCCTAACTGCACAAATTTCAAAACAAAAGCTAGTCAGTTATCTATAGCAGAATTTGGAAAAGGAAGACCTACCATCAAATGCATGACTCTTTGTATTTTCATCCAGATACTTGCATACATCAGGGAGGACACGTGCCATGAATTCAGCTAACCCCTAAAAGATAAAAAGCAATATCAATAAGGTAACCAGACAAGTGATGTAGATTTTATTTATACTTATGCCATTTATGATACAATGTGTAACAACATATGATTATCTTACACTGTAGGATATCATTTCACAATTTCATTAGTAAGCTATAAGAAGGGCAAAGGGTTATACTTCAAATCATCCATTTTTAAAATATTCACTTTTGTACATTTAGAATGGACACTTTGGTACTATTTAAAATCTCTAGGGAATTGGATGAGAATAAATTGAAAAATTAGGATAATTGTGCAAATAAAACATTTTCTTATTTAGAAGAAGATGAAGATGATGATACTTACTGGAGGTCTACTTCCAAGAAGACTTAAATCAACAGATTTTTCTGGTTCTGGAACTGTCTGAATCTGTCAAGGAATAAATAAAAACAATGAACACTTCTTTGTCATCATGAACACTACATATATAATTGGCCATGGTTGAAATAACTTTTGTAAATTTACATCTTTATAATTTTTATAGTTCATGGTGTTATCTATGTCAAACTACCATGAATGCATTATCAATATTTCATTCTTCCACCAAAAGTCAATACTGTTTTGGCAATATACAGTTAACAACTAAATCATTTCTACCACTTGTAAATTTAATGTTTTTCAGTTTTTTTCAAGCTCAAGAATGAAAGGTGGACTGGTTGAATTAGGGCCTAAAGTTGTTAAATACTTTTAGATGTAAGCTTTAATATGACAAATTCTAAAAAAAACATAAATCTGGACAAATCAATTTTCCACATACTCAAGAAAGTACAAAACTTGGTAAGGGTTAGAATAGTTTAGAATATTATTCTAATCCTATTAAAATAATAAATCTATTTAGTGGTAAGTGTAACCATGTAAGTATTGACTCTGTTATTGTTAAGCACAACCATTGTATTATATGCAATACTATATCATGTACATGTATATCAATAATATACTGCAATACAAATACTGGTATACCATGCTTTATTTTTATCATTATCATAGCATATTCTGTGGTTTGGGGTTAGATTTATTTCTATTTTCTGACCTCTTGGTGAACTCTCTTGATGACCTGTGAAGCAACATCGTTGATCTGAATATCTGATGTTTGACATCCACTTGACGACATGGTTCTATATATACCAAATAAATCATTGAAAATGTTTAGAAGTTTTGGGAAATAAATGATTTGTCATTATACAAATTTATAGTTCTTGTAAGTTATTTACTGCAGGTTAGAAACCACAGGGCATAGTCTTCTTCTTCAGGTTACAATACATCTGCCTTTTAAAGGTTTGAAGATTCTTACACTTGATTTTACTAAGTAAGTGTACGTGGCTTAGTTTGGGTGCAGCATGCACACACAAAGTGCAAGTAAAGTCTTCCCTACTTAACCTCTAGCCTCTTGTCTTCTCCTTCTGTCAGTCTTAGAGTTAGAGTGACATGACTCTAACTTAGACAGAAGGATATCGAAGAGGGGGCATTTAGTTATCAGGTTATGCTGTATACTACTATGGCACTAGAACTCTAAGAGAGCCCTAACTCCAGGGAGCTCCGCCGTCGGAGCTCCAGAGCCCGTCCAGGAAAACGATTCAAACAGCGGGTTGGGTCACACTTTTTTGTTAAATGTCTAGAGGTACAGTAGTAATTACAATTTTGACTTACAATGTTTTTTGACTCCTCTGGGCATCGTTCCAACTACTTGAAATTATAATTTAAAGTAGTCTTTCATGGGAAAAAGGGTAATTCTTCGTCTTAATCCGATGATTTATCCATTTGTATTGTCGATTCAACATGGTGAAGAGAAAATATGCATGCACGTTAGTGGCGCAGCAAATATGAATATTCATGATATAGAGCGCTGTTCGCTCCAAATTGCTGAATATGCAAGAGGTTGAGAAGGGCTCATTTTCTTTGATTCATGCATATTCAGCAATTTCGGGCAAACGGGGCTCTACAGTATAATCAGTTTATCATGGGTATTTATATTCGCTGTGCCGCTACCGCACATGCCTAGAGTATGACCGCCAAACTTCGGACAAAAATTACTTCAACGGCTCAAACGCAAAATATGAGCGTAGCTCAGGCGGGTAACTTGCATGCATTTGATACTACTACTAACCTATATCGTTAGTACAGAAAGTTAGGGCAGGTTGCCTTCTGCAAAACTCACAAAAAACATCGAATTCAATAAATTCAGAGACAGATTTCAGGTTACCTAGATTTTTACAGTCCCTTAACAGGGGAGTTAAGGTCCAATATATCATTTACAAATAAATCCTGGGCATATTTCAGGTGGTTTCTGCCCAAATTATGAGAGCTTATGAGATACTTTTTCACTCTATCGCGAAATTTTCTAATGGCGGCCGTTACCACGGACCTAGGGGTACTAGACAGATTCCCCAACCAGAAGATGGCGCTCTTCCAAGCTTCGAACAGGTAACAGTGAGTGTCATTTTGACTACGAAAAAACAGCGCTTTCGTAAGATTTTAGCACCAAAATAATGTGCGAGTGTTGTGAAAAACACCTTTCTGATAGTTCTACCTAACTTAAATCTACCCAAAACGAGAAAATAATACTTTTTTCCATGAAATCAACGCAGTCAAACTTACCCCCATCGTACGATTTTGATCCGGTTTCCAAACCTCCGATGAATGCGCACTTTAGCGCGCGCACTGTATGTGCGATATACATGTACGTGCGCTATGCGCTATACGTGCGCTACACATGAACGTCCGAAGCTTGGCAAGTGCGTCCGAAGCTTGGCATGAAAAAAGGTTCGGCGGGTAAGTAAATAATTCTAGTTTTCCATTTCCTTTACTAATTTTCTTTTTCATGACATACATAAACACTATTTGCACAATAATAGTATATTTGATCTTGTAATAATTAAAAAAGAATTTAATGTTTTCCCCCGTTTTGTCTTAAGTGTCCGAAGTTTGGCGGTCTTACTCTACTTTCTTTTCGCCATGCATCATTGCATGATGTCGATTGTCGAATCAACGATACAACATGGATGAATCGTCGGGTTTGGACAAAGAATCACCCTTTTTCCCATCAAAAACTTCTTCAAATTATAATTTCAAGTAGTTGGAACGATGCCCAGAGGAGTCTCTTCACATTAAAAAAAAAAGTGACCCAACCCACTGCTTGAATCGTTTTCCTTGACGGGCTCTGGAGCTCCCTGGAGTTACCAGGTTACTCAGTTTCTTAGGAGAGCCCTAAATGTCCTTCTTCTCCATCTCCTTCTTCTTCTTCGTCTTCTTCTCCTTCTTAATGTTCTTCTTGTGTTAAGTGGGCCTGGTTGACCAATCACCTATTTACAAATATAAAAGACACTAAAAACTATCCAAGCCGAATCCTATTAGGGTCGCATTACAGCTCACTGTACACTCCTACCTAACATATTTCGTACACATTTACGCTTTATGCACGTACGATAAATAAAGATCAAGATTATAAACATGATCATTACTGTACGTTACAATTAATGCCGAAAATTGTACGCACCTTTCCTTCTTCCAAGACGATTTGAATTCCACTCCATCCAAAGTCTCATCAGAAAACATGATTAGAGACAAAATAAAGGTTCTTTTATCCGAAAATATCACCAGTGGCAGTGGTTGCCACAGTAAACAAAAGTAAGGAAAATCCGCTCGAAAGAATTTAGGGTGAAGCTAGTTGAAAAGGTTCTACCTTGATTTCAGTGTAACCTATGGTATCTTTGAGATATCAAAAAGGGAAAAGCTACGGTCACATAACGCCGTTCTCTATATAGGCGGTAGAGAAGTTGGGGTCAGCCTACCAAAATGACATTTCTCAATAAAAATAAACACCCATCTATTATGTCATTGGTAGACTGACATGAAAGATGGGTGTTTACTTTTATTGAGAAATGTCATTTTGGTAGGCTGACCCCAACTTTTCCGTCTATATTGTTCCGTTTCTTCCTATTCCACTAAACACCATAAAAACCCATTCTATTCTCACTTCTTATTCTTCAGCTGATCTACGACCAAGCACTGACTCCGCGCGGCCCGGGGGCGTTATTTTTTTCGGCGGCACAGATTGAGGTTAGGTGCGTGTTGAGCCTAGAGGAAAGTTTAGGGTTAGGGTGAAGGTTAGAGTTAGGGTTAGGGTTAAATCAAGACCTCTTGTGAAAAAAGCCCCAATCTGTGCAGAAGAAAAAAATGACACGCCGGGGGCGGGGGGGGGGGGGATTACCAGGGCCTGTTAACAATTATTAAATTTAGAAAGATGTTTTACGAGAAAAAAATCTTCGGAATCGGTATTCAACGCAGGGGCGGATCAAGGGGAGGTTAGGGGCTTTAATCCCCCTTTTTAAAATTTAAATTTTTAATGTCGGGGGCAAATAGATTTTTTTTGTGTAGTGCTTTTTACACCCCCCCCCCCCCGAAATATTGGTCAGCACTTTTTTCAAATTTCGGGGGACAAAATGAAAAATAAATAATTAGTGCTCCGGCTATACCCCCCCCCCCCCCCCCCCCCCCCCGCTATTTCGACATTCGACTCTGCTGGTTTATTGATGTGCCAAGGAAGTTAAGGAAGATAAAACTAATTTGACTGGGGTGCGAGTGCATTTTTTACTCACAATTTTTCCATTTTTGTTTCAGAGGAACGCGCGCTATACGTGCCCCTTTGGATTCGTCATACATTCAAGTGTTTACCCATCCTCCTTTATCTCTTCATTTTGTATTGACCTAGAGCAGGGCATCTCAAAGTCCGGACCACCAGGAGGCTCTGTTTTTTTCTTCTTGACTGTCATCGCCGAGCAATGGCAAGTTAGCCCACGACCCCTTTAAGTTTAAGAACAGTAACTGTTTCATTGTTGAATAATGACAAGATAATGATGTGGCAACTATATCGTCACATGGACATTGACCCGGTAATGACGGTACTCTGCAATGTAAGCATGGTAACGGTGTATTTCTTTAAATTTTACAATAATATCTTTCATCTGATTTTGCCATCTCGTCGTTTCCCCTATTTTCTTTGCTTTACTGTACACAAACGTGATATTTACATGTGTGATATTGTCATTGATATCTTATAAACTCTGTTCATTTGAATATAAAAAGGTCAAAATTATGCTTGCAGCTTTAATGTTTTCATATATAGGTCAAACGATATTATAATCAGACTCCTCTTATAATATCATACGAAATAACCCCAAAACAAATATATACTTTGATCCGATTAATAATTAATATATTTATCATAAGTCACCGACTTGAAAATCAGCTTACAATAATTAATAATTAGCTCGGTCCATGAAATATATTATTCTAATAACTGAGAACGCAGTGACTGCGTCTCTATCATAGCGACGCTGGGCATTGTTTTCTTTGATTCTTCGTGTTTCATTCTACTAACGGCATAGGAAAAAAAAACGTTTTAGATTGTGAGTATAAAAAATAACATCATCTGTAGAATATTGTAAAGTTTTGCCCATTTTACTGCAATGTAACAACAATTGAAATAATAATAATGTTAAGAGCTACAGCTGAAAACTAAATTATTCATACTCTTTGTAAATTTGATGCTTTTTGTGTTTTTCTTAACTCAAGAATGAAACCGGAACTGGTTGAATTAGGGCCTTTGTTGAATACGTTTACAAATAAGCTTTAATAGGTCTCATATTCAAGAAATTTAACTAGTGACAAATCAATTCTTGACACATATTTTAAAAATTACAAACCTTGGAAGGGGTACAAATAATTTAGTTGTTAACTGAATAGATTAACGTATTGCGCACGTATCCATAGTAACCGCCAAATACAAGGCACCTACGAAATGAGTAATATTACCCTGGTTTTAGCCCAGCTTCCCTAACGCGCTCAAAGCATTCAAGGAATTAACTCCAACCAGGTGTCTATTTACTACACCTAGGTTGCGATCGATATCAATCGCAACTATGTACATAAGAGATATATAGGCGACTGCAAACTTGCGATTGATTGGAGGACCTGCGATTGATCCAAATCAATCACAACTTTTTATAAAACGGGGCCCTGGATAGAGATTGGCGATGTAGATTAATGTCTTGCCGAAGGATATTGGTGCCGCGGCGGGACTCGAACCGCAAACCATCTGATCCACAGTCCGTTGATATACCTAATCGTTTTGTAATATACGGTTATAATATTAAATACAATCACCAGCATGCGACAAAATAACGGTTTCAGATGTGCGTTTTAGATTTTAGATATCCGACTTGAAAGAAGGATTATGTTAAGTTTACATTTTGAAAATTACTTCAATATCTGCAAAAATGGGAGAGATGTGAGTTTTTCAGGACCATTTTTTTAAACATAGATTACATTTCCCTTTATTCTTTGAGTAATATACAAATCATAATCAAATTCATGAGCTTTGTGTTGAATTTCATCGTCAGTTCATGGAATTTCCAGTTTAAGTAAGTCAGTCTTTGTTAATATTATCTTTGATCGGCAAATAGTTCCGAAATACACATAATTTTACGTTTGAAGAATTCTAATAAGTGAGACGCGATGGCTCAGTGGTAGAGCAGTGGTCTTGTAACTGGGTTCAAAAGCAATTCGATGCGCTAGTGCCCTATGGTAAGGCATTAATCTTCATCAAGTCCCTCGAAGAGGACTTGAAACAATCGGTCCCTTGATTGCTTACTTACAAGCATACACATGCTTCCTTAGCATCAGGTAAAACAAACCAACCAACCAACCTTCAACAAAGTAACACGAATCACACGTACACCGGCCATCTTCCAAAGTTCAGAGGGCTAATTTTGTTTTAAACATTATACAAGTACAAAAATAAAAAAACGTTGGATATTTCTCTCTCTCTCTCTCTCTCTCTCTCTCTCTTTCATTTTTGTTGTTAGTTAGAGATTAAAGGCGTTCGATCATCATTGAATATTATTATTTTTCTCTCTCCTGCTCTCTTTGTTATCAACAACGATTGTAGTTGTTGTTCTGCATACAGGTCCATACTTCAATCACTATAATGTCTGAATTCAGCTGCCCAGAAAGCAAGACCGAGGGACCAAATTCAGAAGCTTCCAAAGACGGGACAGATCACCATAAGTTTAATTTGGCACAGCAGGATGATGCAATCATTGCAGAAAAGGCAGACCAGATGGAGAAGTTACAATCAAGTGGGAGTTATGGACGTCAGATCAACCGTTGTAGGAAAGACACAGATACTCATCTGGAATCCATAAGAAGTGAAGTCGATTCGGCAATCTTGGAGGAGATGAAAAGAGCAAAGGGCAGAGAACAAGAGGAGGATGCTAAAATCGACCAGGAGATTGATGAGAAGAATCAAAAGCTTGAAGAGAAGATCGGCAGCATTACTTGCATGATCGGAAAGAACTTTAGGATTCGAAAGGTCAATGAGGAAATTCGGAAGAACAATGAGGATAGAGAACTGCGGCAGAAACACAATCACGCAAATACAGAGATAATACAAGAAGCCATTGCCAACAGGCAACTTGAACTTCATGATGACATTGAAGCCATCGCGGAAGAGATCGAGAGAAAGATATGTGAGTTGGGGAAATCGTGGCAAGATGATACGAAAACAACAATGGGCACAGTACGAAATCTTGGGGAACTACCCGGAGATGGTGAAAATGTCAAAGTCGGGCAGCTTGTGGGCGCATCAGGGAATGCCACACCAGAGGAGCCACTGGACGAGAATGGGGTGGACTACATAATTCGCACTGTCTCGAGATTGAAGTTCATGACGGCGATCGGGATAAAGAAGTATGGGAGAATCGACGGGTATGATGGAGAGTGGAGCCTCTTTGATACAATCAGTGTCACAAATCAAATGACAGAACCGAGCATTGTAGGATGCATAGATGATAGTGTCATCATCGTAGAAAGAACTGACGATGGTGACCGGAATACATACGCTTTGGATGTACAAAATAAACATAATCAGAGAGTGGTAACCGGCGATTGTTCTTCTTTGGTTTCCTGCGCATTGCTAAGTGACGACAAGATAGTATGCGGCAATTACTGCGATATTGCCGAAGATTTCAAAGGAGAAAGCCTTACTGGATTGATCAGTGTGTATGACAGACAATGGCAATTAATAAAGAATGATTTTATCATTCCACGTGATGGGGCTCGTTGGGGAACATGGGTGAACATTGCTGTCGACCAGAATGGGATGATCATCGCTGGGGAGGGAATACGCCCCATAAAGATCTATGTCATCAACCCAGCTGATGGTAAAATTAATCGTACCATCGTCGTTACAGCTAAGGACGTGTTGATGCGAGGTGTGCTATCGTCAGGTCACATCATCGCTCACTCCTGGGTTGCCTTTCAAAAAGTCTTGAAGATTGACCAACATGGTCCTCAAAGGGAAATCTCACTAGGGGAATTCCACCGCCATGACGATATCCGCAACATCTGCATCGATCCTTTGACTGACGCCCTCTACGTTGTGTCATCAGATGATTGGTACGCCTCGGGCAAGATTGATCACGTGATGACTGATAATGACATGAAGAAAAGAAGGGTAGGATCATTCCATCTCTCAGACAGACTCTCAAAGGATGACAGGAAAAAACATCTTACATCTTCTGACGTCATCATGACGTCATCAGGGAAGATAGTCGCTTGCGATGGAGACAACATCCTCGTCTTCAAAAA